TTTATACAAGTAGTACATAACACAAATAATATAGATAAACATATATTATCACTTATAAATAATAGTTTTATTTAAGATTATGTTGTTAATAACAACTACACACTCACTTGACAGAGTATCTGGTGATTGGTGAATCGGGTAGAGCTTCGCCTTACACCTTTTCGAATAGACCTAGATGTATATAATGCTTAGTCTTAATCTATTTTCATACTTCATGGAATTATTATCCTAAGGGTTCAAATTCCTCAACAATCCTAAAGTCTACCTCAAGATCTACTAAGTAAGGATCAGCTAGGTAGGACAGTCTGGAGGTAGGACCATTACAGGGTATAGCATTTTTGAAATCCAACATGACCATCTCGACACTTCTCGTGTAAGTAGATCAATAAGTATAAAGACTTGGATTCGTTGATAAAACTTATTTATAGGTTCATAATAACGACTTATGACTATAAATATAAGTTACACTGAAAAGACTATATTATAGCTTAACTTACAGAGGTTCTTCCTGACAAAAGTTAGGAAATTGCACTAGTAAAGCTTCTATTCGTTAGCTACTATTACTTCAAGGATTGTAGGGCTTCAACGAAGGCTAACACTAAGATAAAACAGGCTAAAATTCAAAGAATACTAAGAGAGAAATTTTATAGCAGTGAGGGATTTGGACTGACTGAATGCTATTTATAGGAAGGAAAATTGGTTTGTGTGTCATGCACAGACCTGGTGCACGCCGCCCACAAACCAGGCGTGCGCCGCGCACTTGACCTGTTCAACCTTTGTGCACCTGACACATGTTCGAATATGGGTAGGGTTGTGTGGCGGCTTCTAGAACGCTCTATGTGTCTGTTAGGCATGTCAAACCCAACAAATAATATGGGTACAACATACTCCAAATACACCACTTTAATGCACTAAAAAGTAGTACAAGGAAAGTAGGGTCGAACCACAGAGACACGGGATAAAAGTCTATACCTCTTTGCGCAAGGTACTTTAGTCACAAAGGGTTTTTTTTTTTTTTTTTTTTTTTTTTTTTTTTTTTTTGCAAAAGTAAAACAATAAAATAACAATCTACTTTAAAAGCATTCACAAAGTGAAATAAACTTGTAAACAATTTGATTAGAGGGTTCTAGTTCTAGTTCTCAATGTTGTTGTTCAACTTGATTATGAATTGATGTAATTCATGATTGGTATTCTTAGTTGGTATTGAAAGATATTAACGCACTCTAATACATCTCACTTGCCAAATTATCTAACCAAAACACGCTCTTTGACTAGACCTAGCTTTACTAATTCAACCTAAACATGCTCTTAGATTGTATTAAAAATTGCATTAAGTTTTCTACAAGCTTCCCAACAATGTTCATTTTTTCTCATACGCTCGAAAGTGTGAAAACATGTGATATATGTTTTACAATAAGAAACTTCTTGCTTGTTACCAATTATTAACTTAATAGAACGATAGGTGCCCTAAAATTTAATTAACTACACAAAAATTCAATTCATGAAGGTGGCCAATCAGACACAAATCAAATTTAAGGATTCTAGTTAAACAAAAACATAATCACTAGAAGAGAATCACAAATCAAACATGAAATCGTATGCTTCAAGTCAAGCAATCAACATGCTTTGAACAAGAACTAGAAATTAGGGTTTCTTAGCCACACATGGCTAAGAACAAATCAATTAAAGAAAAAGATGGAATTGGAAATGTTTAATGCTTACAAATTGAAATCAAAAGTGTTTGCAATGATTTATCCTTCTTAAAAGCTCCAAGAAATCTCCCAAATTTGCCCAAGATTGCTAGACATTCTCCAAAAACCGTCTCCGGATGATAAAATGATGTATTCCCTTGTTTTATTAAGTCTCACGTGCTTGCCATAAGACCATGCATTTTTAGTCTGGTCATTCATTTTGCCCATGTGTTTTTAGCATGGCCATTTGTCGTGACCATGTGTTTTTGGCATGGCCCAATGTTTTTGCTAAGAGTCCAATAAGTCTTCACTGTTGGCTCCATCTTCAATCTAGCTTCACCACGAGTCATGTTGCTCAAATATAAGATGAGAAAGGACAAACACGGCCTGTGTCGGTGTGGCATAAACCGTGTTTCAAACGTAGTCATTTGTTATGATGATAATGCGACAACAACTCAGGTTATGTCTTCATGTTCTCTTCCATGGCATGACCGGTACATCTTATTTTCATGCTTCAAAGCTACATGATCCTAGTTCCATGCTCCATGCTCCAAGATCTAAGTTCCATGCTCCATAATGCCTGCAAAATAAATCAAAAATAGTGAAGCACAAGACATTCTTAATGAAATATGCAATTGTCCAAATATTTAACTAAATGCAAGAATTATGAAGTAGAATGCTATGAAAGGATGGAAATAAACATGCAAAATAGGTGCATAAAATGCACCTATCAAACTCCCCAAGCTTAGACATTTCTTGTCCTTAAGAAAGAACAAAATTAAGAATCACCCTAGAGAAGACGATAGGTGAGTAAAAAGAAACTAAGATGAGAAGAACGAAAGGAACTTAAAGGACCTAAAGGGAATTAAGAGTGAATGCATAAAATAAAAGAAAAACTAATGAAAACAAGATACTTACAAAAAGATGCTTAAGAAAAATGTACCAAAGAAAAATTCAAAAACACAAATAATTTTTTATTATTATAGGATCAGACTTTACATCAATGGGGCTCTAATCACTAATACCTAGGTGACCATCCTATTACCTTTCATGTATCATAAACTCCCAAAGCAAGGAAGACCATGAAACAGTGTAACCCAATAATCCAACCTTAGTTTTTTTTAAATTTTATACCTTAATTAGCTTTGTGAGCGAAAATTACATAGTCCGGGATCTCATGTCATTAAGACTAGATAGTCAAGAATTAGAATCGACGCATCCTTAAGAACACATCACGACAAATCATCTTTCGCTGAAGCATGGGCCCAACCGAAGGGGCCCAACTCCTATGCTTTCACTTTTTCGAGAGTCACAAGTATCATATCACACAACTCTTCATTCACCAAATTTGACTTTAAGATGGATTCTGATTTGATTGAACTTGGGTTTGCATCTTCGTTTTGAGCTTGAATTCTTTAATCAACTTTTTGAATTTCTTAAAATTTCTTCGATTGAGTGTTTGAAATTTTGATTTGGGTACTGGATATGATAGTTGTACCATTTCTTCCTTCTTGATTGTGTGGATCTGATACTTAAGCTCTCTGTTACTGCGAGGGTAATGCGTGTCAACAAATAGGTCCATGTTCTGTGGGTCCAGAGATGTCGATAAATATTCTTTTTAAACATTCAAAAACAAATCATCCCAAAACTATTATTACCACTCACAAAAACCTTTCGGAATGTCATTTTTTATTATATAAACTCGAGGCCTTGAATTACGGTGTTTTGGTCCCCTGGTTATGACAGTTGATTCTACAATTCCAATAATGAATCTGGTCGCTTCAGATTATTTTTTTTCATTTTCCAACTTCACGAAGCTATGATATGTAAAGATTATGCTTAGCTCGTATTTTATTTTTATTTTTATCTTTGAATTCTTTGAAATGAATGCACTAAAAAAAGAAAATAAGAAAAGTAAATTTTTTTTTTTGAAAAGTTTTGGATGATATACATGAACACTACTAGAAAAACAACCTTTTACGATGCTTATTGCGCGTCGTAAAAGGCTCAGACGACGCGCAAATGCGCGTCAAGGAAGGCCCTATAATAAAGAGAGACGACGCGCATTTACGACGCTCATTTACGACGCGCGTTTACGACACGCAATGCGTATCAAGGAAGGCCATGTCATAAAGGAAGACGACACGCATTCGCGTGTCGTAACCTTACGACACACGTGTTAATTACACGCAATGCATATCAAGAAAGCCCCTGTCAAGAAAGGTCATGTCATAAATGAAGATGACACACATTTTTACGTTCATAATTTTAAATGTTTAAAAAAAATATTATTTATAGATTTACTAATTTTCAAATTAAATAATACATTAAAAATCTCATAATACAAAATAAAATACCATAAATAACAAAGATAATTCATTTCACTAATATGTCAAATACAAATAATTATTCCAAAAATGAGTAAATGTTATAAAAAAATGAACTCATTTATATATAATTGCATCATCTAGCTTAGTAGCTATGTGCCAACAACTCTCTGTGTGTTTACTTTTTCTTGAGTCTCGTTTCCTCCAAAGCTTCTAGCCATTCCAAAATATGATATCTTGAGTCTCGTTTCAAGAACCAAAATCACCTTCAATCACCCAATTAAACTCTAATGTTGGTAGACTGAGAGTTCCAGAATCAAGTTTACATCCATCACCTTCAATCACCCATTTAAAATCTAGATCTCCTGTTGTTTAAAGGAAATTGGTGTTTGTAATCTATGAACAAAAAACGCAAAGACCAAGGTTAACATTTGTTATACAGAAAGCACAACTGGACATATACACTACTAGAAAAACAACCTTTTACGACGCTCATTGCGCGTCGTAAAAGGCTTAGACGACGCGCAAATGCGTGTCAAGGAAGGCCCTGTCATATAGAGAGACGACGCGCATTTACGACGCTCATTTACGACGCGCAATTACGACGCGCGTTTACGACACGCAATGCGTATCAAGGAAGGCCCTGTCATAAAGGAAGATGACACGCATTCGCGTGTCGTAACCTTACGACGCGCGTGTTAATGACACGCAATGCGTATCAAGAAAGCCCCTGTCAAGAAAGCCCATGTCATAAATGAAGATGACACACATTTTTGCGTATCGTAAATTTAAATATTTAAAAAAAATAAATTTATATATTTATTAATTTTTAAATTAAATTTGCATTTAATTTCTCATAATAGAAATAAAATACCATATACAAAAAATACAATCCATTGCATAATATAAAATAAAATTTCATACTCAAAAAATAAAATAAATTGCACAAATTGTAATGTCATACAAAGAATCATTCAAATGTTAAACAAAAATAATACATTGCTAACATGGGTTATACATTCATATAAAACTAACAAATAATCATACAAATATGTTTCTTACTGGAAAGGAATGTCAAACATGATTACAAGTCTCCCTTAATCTTGATTACTCACCTGCTTAAGTAGAATGTTGTTGTTGAGAAGGTTACCTAGCAACAGAGAAAAACACAACACCTCTCCCACAATCACAACATCATTTACAGAGAAAGGGTTGTCAATTACTTTCATTAATACTTTCATTCAATCACAAAAATATTAAATAAAAGGGTGAAACAGTAACTTACTTTTGATAAGTTGATCTCCCTTAGAGCAAACACAACTAAAGCATTGAACAAGACCCTATTTCAAAATTTTATAAATACACAAATGATGATACCTGATATTGGAATACACACTTTGAGACATGAATAAATACAAGTAGATTAACCTGGATACATAGGAAGTAAAGATGGAAGGTGCCAGAACTCCGGGGGCATTGGGTTGGTTCCTTCCCACTCGCACACACCAAGCCAGAACTCCACTTAATCCAGCACCAAAATAAGCCTGCATTCAGAAAGCTGCAGGGGTGAGTCACAATTCAAGAATCTATTAAAATTTGAGGAATAACATGTTCAACCAAAACAATATTAGAAAACAGGGTTAAATGTGAAACATAGCAACGTAATAATTATCAAGGTGCTGGAAAACTTGAAATCTAGATTATTTGCTTGTTTGTACATCCAGACGATTTTATCACGAACATAAGTCATGTTATCAACTTTCTGAAGAAGTATACCAAGACATTTGTAGGAGAAGAATACTCTCAATAAGATAATTTAATTAAAAAAATGTAATGATAATGATAATGAGTTCATACCTGTGAAGTAGTGCAGAATGCTCATCATCATATGTATAAAGCTCATACTGCTTTGCAAAAGCATTACCAAGAGAAATGACCCAATCAATGTCTTGAACAACATCCAAAGTTTCTGCAAGAAACTGCAAACAAAAAAAGAAATAAATAATAACGACATGAAAAGTAAGACTATCAGTCTATAACCTCAACAATAAAACAAAACAAATTATTATTAAAATCAAATAATGATAATACAAATTGTTACAAATTATGGGACAACAGGGTCTTCTGTGATGACATATAAAGCAACCCTATTACAATATTACCCTTGTGGGACAGCAGGGTCTTCTTCTATGATGACAAATTGTGGGACAGCAGTACATGACTAAATGCATGTAGATTGATAAGGTTGTTTCTTTTTTACTTAATAAAATCAAAATGACTTGTTGTGCTCAGTGAGAGGTTGGTCACGTTATGTATTAAGACCCTTCCTATTACAATATTACCCTTGTTTATTTTTTTATTTTATTCAACTTTTGACAATCTCATGAAAAAGGCACTATCGACCTCGTTTTTTTTCAATGTTCACAAAATTTTAAACAAAATGTTGGCATCTATTTACCTGTTGTTGTTTGTTTTAGAATTTGGAGAGAGAGAGAGAGAGAGAGAGAGAGAGAGAGAGAGAATCTTCATGCCTTTATGGTGTATCAAAGGAGGGCGCGAAAAGACAACCCAATTACCATCCTAAGCAATTAGTGGTCCTAGACCATGTGAAAAACAGAGCTCATATCATAAGCTGATTTCATAAGGGGCAACAACCAGTATGGCAATCCTAGCATTCCAAAATTTGAAAACTCAAAGCTTGTCATTGGCTCACAAGTTTTGTTGTATTTCCGCACCACCTGACCATCTAAACACTCTTGTTTCTTAGAGGATATTGTAGTTCATCAATTAAAACAAAAGGAAAATATTTAATTTTACCTGTGTCACAAATTACGATATTGTCCTGAAAAGTTACCACATAATAAAGCAGACCCGCACGTGAAATACCCTCCACCGAGAAATTATTTTGTGGCAGCTGCTGACTAGGCAGTATTTCTTTTACGAGGGATGATTTCTCCTTTATCAACTGTCCACAGATCTCTATAATCTTTGAAGATCCTTCACACCACAAAAAATATTATTAAATAACATCATAATTAACCTAGAAACATCAAAAGAATATGTAGACAATAGAAGTCAAACCTTTGACCACTTCTTGAATGATACCAGATGACAGATCCATGATCCATAAGGTTTCAAAACTGCATGAAAACATTATATAGCAGATTAACAGTATATCATGTTAATTAAAATATGACATGTAAAATGTGGTAATTTTCCAACGACTTGAGAAGATGCCAGGGGTAAAAATGTAATTTAGGATCAACTTCCTCAGAATTTGAAGGAATGTCTTTTGCACTATAAAGTTTATCAATGATCCAAGTCACTAAACTACTTTTTGTCTCACTGACATTAGGTTTTTGATATAATGTCTCAACTGTCCTGCTCTCCATATCAGCTCTCCTTATAGCATGATTCTTTCATCATATGAAAAGTAAAAACCATAATAAGACTATATCCCCATCAATATATTTGTAATTATTCATTTAAAAAAGAATACCTCTGAGTCAACAAAATAGAAGGAATCATCCTCATTGTGATAAAACAAAGCAGCAGGGCGAATTATTTTGGAAGATTCAAACTCTCCATCTTCAAATCCAAGTGAAGATCCAATCTGAAATATATATATATATATATATATATATATATATATATATATATATATATATATATATATATATATTATCATAAGCATTTAGCTACTCAAAATTGAAATGCTATGTGAATTACAAATGGAACTCCTGATAATTACCATTAACAAAGCATAGTATATTTGATAATTACCATCAGGATCAACAATCCCATCCATTTGAAGTGCATCTGAGTTTGCCAAATCTGAATTTGCAGGTGTAATGGCTAAGATTATACAACATGGCTGCATAATGTAGGAGAGTATCATTTCACGGAACACAGTAGAGAAGGCACCTGGACATGATGATAAAAAAAAATTAATCAAAACTATGAGTAAATTAACCTAATCACTGCATATAACCTACCCACAATGTTTTTCACCGGAAGTGGACCCCTGCACCATCACATCACAAAAATCATAAGGATTGTAATCTTGATACAAGACTAGAACTGTAGCCAAATTCCTACAAGATTATTGATACAAGACAATGAGCAAACAACAAAACATAGAACTAATCAAAGATACTTATAATCAAGAAGTGAAATCGCACCTGAAGAATGGGAGGAGCCTTGAAGATCACAATATCTGAAACTTCTGGCTTCCGAAAGATGTATGAAACCTAAATCAATAACAGGCAAAAACTCAAAATCTTGCATACAATCACTATGTGAATTGAAAAGCCAAAATGGCGAAATTGGCAACCATCATTCATATAGTGTGTAATAAGGTTAGAATTGGGATTATATCTTTTCGGCCATTATGCGATCACCCACATCAAGGGTAGGGCTCATGGATGCAGAGGGGATGGATCTTGGTTCAGCCAATTGCGATCGGAATAGGATACTGACACTCAAAGCGGTGAAGGCAGCCTTAGCATCATCAGAGCAAACACTTAATAGTTTTGAAAACCAATTCTTCCTCTCAACGATGATTTTGGTAATTGCAACATTGCAGGTTTTCACGCAATCAGTAGTAGTCTGATTGGACTTCGTCGAGCTAGTACCGCCTTTATCAACCTCCGTACTGTTAATCTCGTTACATGGGAGCCACTTCGACCCTTGGAAAAACGGAATCATGGAAGACGCCTTCAACGGCGAAATCCCCAAAACCCCAGAACCATCACCAACGCCACCACCGGTATCCGTTGACGTTACCAACGCCAAGAAAATCACATGCGAGAGTGGCATACGCCGAAACCGAACACCTTGAACCCGCCGTTGCTGCCGGACCGTACCCGGCGACGGGATCTCAGTCGGGATTCTGGAATATACGAGGACGAGAAAAAACCTCATGAAAAATTCGGCATGTATTGGATTTTCCGGAGGCAGTGGCTAGGTTTTGGGCCATGTAGCCGGAGTAAGAAACAGTGAATCTGATCGCCATACACGCAATTTTGATTAACAACAAAAAGATTTGGAAAATTGCTTCTTCGGTGATCAACTGTTGTGATGTGAAAAGAAAACTCACAAAGAAAGAGATCCCATTGAAAATGAAGAAATCAGTGAGATTAGGAGGGTGGGGTGGAATCGAAGGGTATGATTAGAACAAGAAGGGAAGAATCGGGAGCTGAAAATTGGGGAAAATGATGAAATCGAAAAACCCCAAAGCTGAAAACAACCTGAGATTTCCTCCGTGAAGCGATGGAGAGATCTCAAGGGTGTGGAGACGAAAGAGACTTCCGGTGAAAAACATTGTGGGTAGGTCTGTGTTCAAAATTGATAGATTTTTTTTTCAAAATTGATAAGGGGTTGTGATTCTTTAGGCTTCAAAATTGATAGATTTTTTTTTTCGATTCTTTCAAGTTTGAATCAGAAAATGAGAAAGAGTTAGGGAAATCAAGAGTGCAATGCTCGTCCTTGTTAGGTTGAAGATGAAAGATAGATAGAAGATAGAAAAAAAAAGGCGGGTTTTCAAAATTTTGGGGATTTCATTTCCCCCCTTGTATACTAAAAGCACGTTTCATTAAAATTATAAAGCGACAGGTACAGACGACGCGCGTTTAAGATAAAGCGCCCTCCGTGTTTTTAATTTTTTTTCTTGAGACACTAAATTAAGGACACGCAATAAAGCGTGACGTAAATCCTTAAATTTTTTGGAGAGATGACACTATTTTAAGGGCACGTCCTTTTGCGTATCATTAATTATCACGTGTCGTAAAAAGCGCGTCAGTAAAGGTCTTTTTTCTATTAGTGATAAATATATAATACACAACATAAACATTTTGATGAAAATGATATAGACAAATAAGTAAGAGTGATGATATTGATACCTTAATTACGCCATTGGTGAACGAAATTTTAATTGGTTGATAGCAATGCTTGACCTCTGGAAACAAATAAACAAAGGATCGCATCATAATTAGCTCAATGAAGTAATTCTTATACATTGTCTCTACCAAAAGATTCATCATGGAAACATTTTTGTTGGAAATAACTAAACAAAAACCTAAATACTAAGCAAAAAAAATTATAGTAATCACCATTTAGAGTAGGATGAGGAGTCCGATAAGGCCACATGAGACCATTTAAGCAGAAATTTAAGTCATTTGGTGTATCTCCAAAGTCACCTCCATATGCCCAGTATTTGCTACCATTTTCATTTTCCTTGAGTAACCCCTGAAACCAGATGCAAATATTTAGAACTACCCTTGCACCACATTTAAAATTTTATAAAATTTAAGAGATGAGTTTCAAACCTGGTCAACCCAAATGACTATCTGGTTCTGTACTATCTGGTGCATTACTGATGAATAATCCGTACAAACCCACTGCAAATATCATCATAACTGTCCTAGCAAGATACACATCTGCATTCAGATTTTAAAAATATAAGCAAAATTTTAAATACCTTTACTTGAAAATACTACAAATTAAACTTCAATAGTTACTGTTTATTGTTTTTCAAATTTCTATGGGGGGCAAAATGTAGAAGCTAGTAGACTCACCTATTGCTTCAACCAAACGCATCACCATTTTCCCTGAAAGAGATCCTTTCAAGCAGCTTGTCCAGTAGATTTTATATGCATCAGCAACATAAACACAGCCCTAGGAACATCCAATAAAGTCAAGATCACTTTGATTCATCCAAACATAACAATAGAAACACAGAAAACAAAATTACAGATAAATTTACTAAAATAAATGAGTGTATAGAGAATTATTACATCAAGAAAGCATAGCAAGGAGCCAGCTAATGAGCCTGCAACAACAGGATAGAAAAATAATTTTTTCAATGTGGACAAAACAAAAAATGAATTTCAAAAGAACCAAATGAAAGTCTTATTTCTTAGGCATGACCTTCTCATTAGATTTATAACTTCATTATGTCCCTTTGATTGCAGCCTTCTCAAGGGGATCACCAACCTAAAAGAAATGGTATAAATATAAATATATAGGCCAAATATAGAAGGTAAAACAAGATATAATTTGATATTATAATTATAATATTTAATATACCGGTTAGTTTTTCCACAAAAACAAGTGCATGGCAAGAAGCAAGAATTTACATAGTTCGAGTTGGCATTTTTTTAGTGTCTATTTCAAGATCTAAATCCACCAACTCCAGAGAGAATTCGTGGAAGAAAAAAACGACTACTAACGAAAGTTTTACCTTGGACCAATCAACCCAAGCTCAGTGAAGGAATGACCCGAACAACAGCTAAACAAAACAAAAAACAACTGATTATGAATTACAATATTACCCTCTGATTTCACTGAGGTTGTCAGCGACTTCATAATTGAGGTGGCATCGGTTGTCTGCAAATATTGGGCTCAGGTATTGTTGTCGTTTAGAATGAAAAACTGAAGTTTTCTGTTTTGGTTATTCACAAAGTGAAAATGAGAACAGGGATTTTCGCAATAACATTCACAGTATATGGATAAAATGGTCATTTAACCTGTTTTCACACTGCCCAAAAAGGTTTTGATTTTGAATTATTTGTTAGAGTTTCTTCATTAGTTTCCTCAATGTCATCATCTTCTTCTTCATCTCCATACTCCATAAGACTGATTAAAGTTTCTAAAAACAATAAATAGAACATAAGATATATATATATATATATATATATATATATATATATATATATATATATAATATTCAAACTACAATGCTATAATACATGCATTATTGAGTTTGTAAACATACCAGGTACGGATTTGGTTTCTGGTGTTTTTACGATATTGCCCTCGACCACCTTTGCTGTTGAATTAAATTTTGGGGGTCGTTGAGGAGGTGACATCATTCCATTGGTCATTGGAATCGGAATAGGTGATTCCATCTTTGTACTACTTTTGGAATTCACTTCATTTTGCTTCAAGATTCCTGATGCCTGAAAGAAATCATAACCACACAATGCAAAAATATAAAAGTCAAAAGTCAAAAAAAGACGAACTTCACATAAAAAAATACCCATAGACTATCATTGCAAAAAAGAGGAACTTCACATAAAAAAATACCCATCGACTACCTTGATTTGAGAGGAAACAAAAATAAGTGGTTGATAATGTGTGGCCTAACAGAAGCTTCACGGTTTCTATCAGCAAAAAAGTACCGAAAACATGAGAATTTAATCATTTATATATTGAAATTTGTTAAATATGAGGAATGATATAACTTACAGGCAAACGATCCCAAACAAGGTGAGCATCATTTGGTTTGAGGTGATAATAAGAGCATCCAAAATCAACAACAGTCACACCAATGTAAAAGCATGTCCAACCATAAAGCTCACCTTGTAGACTTAGGCATTTTATACCAGGCAAGCAGAATCAGGGGCAATATAAACCTGAGAAGTGGATGCTACTTTGTTTAATTGTAGTTATCACTATTATAATGTAGAAAGAAAAAGGAAGTAAAGTAAGATACATTGATGATTTCTAAATGCCCCTGATTCACTTTACTTGATGATTTCCCAAGTATGATTAAACAGGGGTATTAAGGGCTTTTTAGGCATTTTATATCAGGCATTTTAGGCAGAATCAATCCACATCTCAGGTTTACTTGTAGTTATCACTTATCACAATATTCCAAAGTATGATTAAACAGGGTTACTTAAACAGTTAGTGAAAAATAGAGTACAATCACATAGCTATTAATAAGCTTAAGAGAAGATTGCAAGTTAGATTAATTACCAGTTTCATGTTCATCTATGCCATTGCCATGATTATAATCATAATCATCACGGTAATCATCATAAGCATCATACTCTTCATCAAAATCAACTCCATATGATACTTTGTGAGGCATTCCCTGGTTAAATAATAAACCAAATATGATACATAATAAGCTTTCAATATGGAAATTAGACTTGAGAAGATACAAATATAGGTCCTTTATATGCAGATTAAATTATGAAACTGAAATCATAAGAAATATTTTTAAAAGATAATACCTTGACTTTATTGTGGACTGAATCAAAATAACATAGTCATCCAAACCAATCCCAGATCTGAAACTATCCAAAATAAACATGTTATCTGTATCCAAAACGATAAAGGGTTCTTTAAAACCGAAGAAAAAACAAAAACTAGCCAAAATAAACACACAAACCTATCAAATGAAGTCATGTCATTGTCAATTTGATAGGAGTCTGAATTGAAGGCATCATGACGTCATCGATTGGCGGTGCTTATGGATGGTCTGGTGGTCAGACGGAGAGAATAGAGATGAAGGAGGGTAGGAAGCGAGATCTAGGGTTCGAGTGTGTGAGAGTACCGTTATTGCATCGCCGATGATCAGATTTCATTAGACGCACTCCAAAATCAACCTGAAATCGGATCCTTCGAAGGCACCAGTGGGAGGTACATGTTTGCCCTAGATCCTGAACTCCCACCGGATTTCTTCCCAGACTTCATGATCTTCCATGGGTCGACTTTCTTCCCTTTGCCACTATGATTACGCAGATGTACCTGCGAGAGTCGGTCCTCGAAAATTTTAGTCTCGAGTGATTCGGATGTGGGACCACCAGTAGAGGAATAATCATCGAGCGTTTCTTTTGTTTTGAAGGAAAAGGTTAGGGGCAGCGGTGCGTGGGATCTGAGTGAGAACAGAGGGATTGGCGTTCCGATCTTGAACCGGTATCTTGAGATGGCGGACGTGTGTGCTTAGGTTTCTAGATGCACTCCAAACTCTTAAATCTTATCGGGTTCGATGTTGGTGGTGGCAGCTTAGGGCTTAAAGAGAGAGAGAGAGAGTGAGAGAGAGAGAGAGAGAGAGAGAGAGAGTACAGAGGTAAAGGAAGACGAGCCGATTCAAAAGGTTGTGCTGATTCAAAAGGATTATTAGGGTTGTATTGTAGGATTCTAGTATGGATTGAGTTTTTCAGGCTCAATGGCTGTGGTAGTTGCGATGGCTTAGGGTTTACAGAGAGAAGTAAGGAGTGAATGAAAAGGGAGATACTGAGGAGAGACGGTAGAAGTGGGGTTCTTCAAAATTTTAAAATTTCAGACGATTTCGTTTTCCCCCTTTAAAAACGCACGTTTAGACAAAAAAATATATATAAAGCGACACATTTAGAGGACACACAGTTTATGAAAGGCGCCCTCCGCATTTTTTTTTCTTTTCTTACACAAATTTTAGGGCACGCACAAATGCGTGTCCACTATCCTTCAAATTTTGCAAATTTGACATTATTTTTTAGGGCACACACCAATGCGCGTCCTCTATCAGTGAGTGTCATTGTTTGCGCATCATTAAAGGACTGTTTTCTAGTAGTGGAAAAAACTAGAACCTAATATACGAAGAAAAACCCCATCCACAAGCTTAAGATTAAGCATCATCCTCGATGCTCAGAGATGGTAGGGCAACCTATTGAGACACAAATGTATACCTATATAGAGCACATGGACATATTTTAAACAATTATAGTCAAACAATCTTAAGATTAATGCATAAGACTTGAGATATGGAAGGAATGTATCAATCAAATGCTTGAATTTGTGATGTGTGCTTGACTTTTTCACTTCATCTTCAACCTCAAGAAAAGTTTGAACACATCAATGGTGGAATGAACAATTGGAGATGCAAGCTTCTACTCTACTTTACAAAATACCTCCGCAAGCTTGCTCTTGAAACCCTTGGAGCTTTAATTTAAAAGAAATTGAATAGAAATCAGAGCTTTTATGTTGAGAGAGGGGAGACAAAAATCCGTGATGGGGTTTAGAGAGAGGGGAGAGCACGGTCGCGATGTTTATGGAACAATAGAGTCATAAATTGTGTTTTTTTATATAGGGAAAAAACATGGTCTTAGAACAGACCATGTGTTTTTCAAGCTCGACCATGCATTTTTTTGGATGAAAAACCTCGATTCGACAAATGGTCTTGGTAGAGACCATGCGTTTTAGCATTACCATATGTTTTTGAGGTTTTGCCCGTGAGTATTTAAGCTTGGCCTACACCAAGCTGATGCATTTTTAGCATGGGCATGCTTTTTAGCAATTGATTGTGAGATTTTTCGTCAATTAGATGTCCACACACGGTTCAAGACAGGGTCCCACTTTTTTAGACCTAGTCTGTGTGTTTCAAATGCGTGGCCATGCATTTTTTCGATTAACGGTGAGTTTTTATGAGTAGCCCGTGCACATTGTTTTTTTTTTTCAAAAAGTTGCGATCTAAAGGCATGGGTGAAACCTAGGCCATGTGTTTTTCAGTAATTACCCATGTGCTTTCAACATATGTCCGTGCTCTTTTTTTTTTAAATTTTTTTTGAAAACCTCGTCGGCTACACACGAATCAAAAAATAGACCATGTGCTTTCAGTTCAAGTCCATGCGATTTTGGACATGCCCATGCTTTTTTTTTTAATTTTACTGTTAACCTCACAAATTTTTTTTAACACATGACTCCCTCTCAATCTTTTAGATAGTTTATTTATTTATTTATTTATTATGCATTGAACTCTATAAAGACTAAAAAACATTGCCACACAACAAAATAGAGTAAATAAAAGAAGAATGGAAAGAAAATACTTCCCGAGTTGCCTCTCGGTTAGTCGCCCTTGTTTCTAGTCTTTGGCTCGACTTGGTCCTTGGAATATGTTATTCTTTGAATGTTAGGACTTTCCATCTTACTGAACTTCTTACTACTTCCTCAAATTAGACACTTATCTTGTACTTGACTTTCTTTTTTCTTGGTGAAGGGTCTAGTTAATGGTTTGGTCTAGGCTTTTGTTGTAATAGGTTCTTTTGGGTTTGTATGCAGTTTTGGTAGGTTGGTTTGTAGTTTACGGCCATGTTATGAGTTTACGGTCGTAAGCTGTTTACGGCCGTAAACCCAGAGTCGGCCCAGGTCCACTATATATAGAGGTTATGTAGGTCATTTGTGGTTGTTGATGCCATAGAGTTCATGGTTGATGTAAACAAGTTGTACCAGACGTTTTTCGTTATAGAAGTGTGTGCAAGCTTGTTCTGAATTCTGTTTCTACTTCATTCTTATTGTAATTAATTGTTTTGTTTTCTTGATCACTGGTAAGATCCGTTTCAGGACCTTACAATCGGTATCATAGCAAAACTTGTGTCAAGGCATCTTAGAATCGATTTTTGGCCATATTCCTCACTGTTTAAGATTGGAGTTGGTGTTATCTGCGAAAGGGAATCAAGTTTAATCCAAAAACGTGATTTCTTGAACTTCTGGGAGCTTACTGCCAAGAGTTTACGGCAACAAACCCATCTTACGACCGCAAGCTCAAGAACCTTCTTGGACCGTAAACTCAGTTCTTAGACCGTAAATCAAGTATCTTGAATAACCGCAAACTTAGATTCAAAATCCGTAATCATTTGGACAGGAAAGTCTCAACCGTAAACTCTCGACCATAAACCGAGTTTACAGCCGCAAACCATCTTTGACCGTAAATCAAGAATTCAACGCGATCATCCGATCGAGAACATCATTGGTCAGCTGGGCGATGGAGTTAAAACCAGAAGTCAGAGTGGAGATGTCAATACATGTCTGTACTCTTGCTTTATCTCTCAAATAGAGCCCAAGAGTGTTGAAATGGCTCTAAATGAGCCCAACTGGGTAAATGCTATGCATGAAGAGTTAAATCAGTTTGAAAAACTCAAGGTTTGGAAATTGGTTGAGTTGCCAAAGGGAAAAAAGTCTCTTGACACACGTTGGGTCTATCGAAACAAGAAGGATAATTCAGGGGTTATAGTGCGAAATAAAGCTAGATTGGTGGTTCGTGGGTTTCGACAAGTTGAGGGTCTTGATTACGCTGAGGTTTATGCTTCAGTAGCACACTTGGAGGCTATTCGTATCTTCCTTGCATATGCCTCCTACATGAATTTCACGGTATATAAAATGGATGTCCAGACCGCTTTCTTGTATGGCAAGGTGAAGGAATAAATCTACGTTGATCAGCCCCTGGGTTCATTGACTCGAAGTTTCCTAATCATGTATACAAGTTGGACAAGGCATTGTATGGGTTAAATCAATCTTCTCGAGCGTGGTATGCGACTCTTAAAAAGCATTTGCTCGAGCATGGATACTCTCACGGCACCATCGATCAATCTTTGTTTATCAAGCATGTTGGTAATGATCAGATTCTGATTCAAATCTACGTTGACGACGTTATTTTCGGGTCGACCAGCTCGCAACTTTGCAAGGAGTTTGAAGGCGTCATGAAAAAGCCGTTTGAGAAGAGTTCATTGGGAGAAATGACCATGTTTCTGGGGCTTCAGGTTAAACAAAATTCAACCGGAATCCTGCTCCATCAAGCTAAGTATGTGGAGGATATTCTTGAGAAATTTGGGTTTCAAGATGCAAAACCTGCTTCAACACCGATGGCCGAAAGACCCATGCTGACTCCAGATAAAGAAGGAGAACCCATAGATCAGACTCATTACAGATCGATGATCGGATCGTTGATGTACTGTAATAGTCTGGGTTAACCTTTGTAACCCGTTTTGAAATAATAAGAGCGTATTATTTGAGTATTATGTGTTTTGTGCTTAATTGCTTAATTATGTGATTGGATTAATTAAGAATAAAATAAGCATTAAAATTTAAATGTAAAATAAACTCAATATCTTTACATAATGTTGTAGTGCTCGAAACAAGGATTCCGGAGATATAAGGAATGCCAAAATCCAAGTTATAACGAAGAAGTTATGACCTGTCGAAGTTTCGCGACAGAATCGACAACGCTGAATGACGTAAAAAGTGAAATTTACGTTAGAGCAATATTTAGCCTTAGTGATCTAAACGAAAGTCGTAGAGTTTGTTAAACCGAGAGAGTGCATAAAAAGAACG